TCAATATCAAACACTGTTAAAAACACCATCTTTTGAAAATATTACATGTATTTATAATTTTCTAGTGSAATGTAACATACATAATATGATATAATATAGATTTGTTATAATATCGGAGTCGATGGCCAAAGCTGCTCGCACTCCTCCTTTTCATTAGGTTTAATAGCCTGTATAATAATAATATTTTCTTTTTTATATAGATTACACTACTTTCTTTTATGTATATAGATATGCCATATATGTCGAATTGCAGTAAAAGTACCCCACGGCTGAATTGGTCGAATAGACAAAGTTTTCAGAAGTTTGAGTGGAAAGAGTATTTTTAAGAAGGAATCATTGCTAGGTCCAGTAAGTCGAGGTAAAAGGAAATGGTCATGAAATAATTCGCAATTTTTCCTAAAACTTTGGTTTTTTGGAAAAGCGTTAGCTTTAACAACTAGTTTGAGAGAGATTTATTGGAATGTATATACCTCTCCTATATTTCGATCCTGGTGATAATCCAAAGACATAATTAATGTCTGGTTTTTGGCCAAGCAACTCTGCGTGCGTATGGCACAGAAACCAATTTTTGTTCTTTTATTGTGCTTACATTACAAGATTTGGTTTCCACGTCATAATCATGAGCCCAGGATTCGCTACAAGTTAGGATATCTGGAGCAGATCTGGTTCTAGCAGAAAAATCAAGGACGAACCAAAAAGGGTTCAAGCAAAACAACTGTCAAAAATTTACTAAACAAAACAAACGAAAAAGAAAAACGAATTTAGTTAATATAGTATACTTGTACAAGGTACTTTCCAAAGCAAAAAGAACAAATGGTTTCTTAGCCAAATTTCAATCAATTTATTTTATTCAAAATAGTCTTCTGCTTCCATACAGCTTTTTGCACGGTCCAAAAGCATATTGAACGAGTGTTTTAGTTCGTGGGCGGTATGGCCACCAGTATGCCGGTGCAAGCCTTTTGAATGGTCTCTACGTCAGCATAACTCTTTCCTTTAATGGGCAAATGCATTTTTCCGAAAAGAAAGAAGTCGCACAGTGCCATATCAGGTGAATATGGGGAGTGGTTAATGGTTAAAATGTGATTTTTGGTCAAATAATCGGTCACAAGCGGTGATCGTGCAACAAACGCCAACTTTCATCTTCGCGATATTCGAACCGAATACGGTGCACCAAATGCTTCAAACCTCCAAGGTAGAATACCGCATTAACGTGTTGGCCGGGTGGAACAAATTCTTTGTGGACAATACCCTTAGAATCATAAAAACAAATCAGCATTGTCTTCACTTTTGACTTCTCCATGAGCGATTTATTGGGTCTTGGCTCATCCGGTGCCTTCCATTCAGCACTCTGATGTTTCGTTTCGAGATGTTATTGGAAACACCACGTTTCGTCACAAGTCACAATTTTGTAAAGAAAGTTTTTGTTCCTTTTTACCTATTTAATGATGTCCTTCGAATATTGGATTCTGAGCAACTTTTGGTCGTCAGTCAATGTGTGCGGAACAATCAAACGATTTCTGCTGATTTTTGATGAATTCACGCACAGTTCTGATGGAATTTTCTGTGATCACGGATTTTGATTGGCCCACATGTTGATCGCCATTTATGTTCTTACAACCACTTTGAAAAGGCTGAAACCACTCGTACACTCCGCTACGGGATAAACAATCATAGCCATAAACTTGTTTCATCAATTGAATCGTTTCAGTAAAAGTTTTACCAATTTTAAAACAAAATTTAATGTTGGCTCTTTGTTCGAAACTCATTTTCGCACTCATAACACAAACATACTGACACTTAAAATGCAATAATTTCACTTCCAATCAATGAAATGTCATGGAATTCTCACTTGACAATCAATAAAGATAGCAGATTCTAACGTATCTGTCGACATATAGATGGAGTCACTAGCAGGTGCTAGATTTAAAAAATCCTCTTTACTTTAGAACACATTTTGTATAGCTTGTGACATATATATGTTTCAGGGGCGATACCAGTATTATCTAAAATATTATGACCAAAAGATGAAACACCCTATTGCGACTCAACTTATTTTTTGTCTTATTTATAGCCCCTTTTATATTTAGAAGTCACAATGTTTGGAATTGACACCCATTATGTATAACACCAACCACTTCAAAGTGCTAAAGGAAACGTTTACCAAATTTCATCAAGATATCTCGAAAGGAATTCAACTCGTCTCATAATCATAATCATTTTTTTACACATAAATATATGTATAGGTCTTACAAACTACCGTTAAGTAAACAAAACTAGGACACCCTGTGCAACATATTCTGAGAGTATGAAAATGATTATTTATCCTGAACAAAGTATATTAAGTTTGCCATGAAGTTTGTAATATCCAGAAGGAACCTCACAGACCCTATTAAATACATATTTATATGATTGGGAAAAAATCACCGGGAATTGTAATTAAACTATCCGGGTAAATGATATTTCCAAAAAAATTTTTTTTTTGCAAAGTTTGTAGGGCGGTCCTTAATTAATATGTCAGGTTGCAAATTTTGTATTTCTAACCAAATTTCGTGCTGGGATTCGATGCGAATGTTGGGAAAGGCTTACGGTGATTGAGTTTTATCAAAAACACAAGCCAAACAAAAAATAAAAAACACAAAGAAGGTCGAGAGGTCGTTGAAGACATGCCTTGTTCTGGACGACTTTCGACCTCTTCAACTGTTTCGAGGACTGGAAAAATCGGTGGCATAAGTGTATTACATCTGGTGGGGATTACTTGGAAGGCGTCAAAACAAATATTGACGAATAATTAATATTTTGCGTTATATTTACAATTTTCGAGTACCTTTTTCACAAAATGTAATTGGTTACTGTATCGAAGCGAGCCGGTTATTCTAAATATGTCCGTCTGGCTATATGCACACGTCATTTTGCACCAAGAAACTGCCAATGTCATTAATGTGAATGGACAATGACCGGTAAGAACTGCAGCAGGATGGATTAAAGCTAGTAGTTCAGAATATATCCTGCGTTTTATTCAAGGCCAAAGGAGTTCGCAGTCCGGTGCTTGAAAGTAAAATGACAACGGAGATCCTATTGTTTCTCACTCCGATGTGAGCTGGGTAAGGGTGTCCTCTGATTCCAACGATTCCTGTGTGACCAGGTATCTAAACGAGTCCGACAATAAAGTACCTTGATTCTTAACTTACTGAAAGACACTCTTTGACTAACTTTGAGTACATAGTTTGCGAAATTAACGATAGCATTGGAGTAATGTTGTCGGCGGAAATTCTCATCATTTTTGAAAGAAGCTGCAATTCGGATCACTAAGTAGCACCTTAAAGCAACTAATTCTGCATGAAAAACAGTTAGGTAGGTAACTCTGTTCATATCATCATGGTATAATCGCTTGGGGCTCCTTCAAGGGCTTGAAGCAATGGACCCTTATGGCACACCTCAGGTCTGTGTACACTTGCAACACAGGGCATAAGGCTTTGGGGAAGGGTTTTGTAGAACAGTCCAAAAAGCATATGTTTCTGGAGAATAAAGGAACTTATAAATATAATATGGCCATCACAGGGCATGTACCTTTTATATCCCACTTTCAGAAAATTGGAAAAGGGGATTCGCCGGCCACCTGCGGTCTGGCGCTCGTGCTCCTCCCTTTTAACCAATCAAATTTTATGTTAAATTTAGGACTTACTTTTAAAAGATATAAGAACGAAAATCATTTAATGTTCAGGCACAACATTTTATTTAACGTTTAATAAAGTGCTTACCTTCTTGTCTTTCAGCAACTGTTAGTGCCAAAGACTGTAGTGTAGGGCGTTCTACCACCTTGAAAATGTCATCTAGACTAGGAGGATCAAGTTGCTCGCTGCGTCGTTGTAGATTTACAAACTGTTCTATTTGCATATGACGCATACTTTTTACGTGTTGGATCATATTAAGCAACGTGAACGTGTTAAAACCACACAATTGGCATGTTAAAGATTTTTGCATCGACTCGGGCGTGTCTTCCACTACAATGCTGCTGCTACGGTTGGTGTGACTTCCATCATTTTCATGAACAGGCATAACACTATGCGACTCACGAATACTTGGAACAATTTCAACTGCATCTTTAAGTGAATGAGTTTTAGAGTATGGTTGCATTTGTTCGGTTTTGTTTCGCTCAAAATTTTGCTGTTCCATGATATGTAGTAAATGTTGGAAAATTGTTCGCATTGTATCATGACGCATATGCTGTGTGTGCAATGACAGCTTTTGGATGGAATTTGTGTAGAAATCACAACAGTTACATTTAAGTTGTACTGTGTTGGAAGCTAGGTGTAAATGTTTTAGCTTGTATTCGTTTTGTATACCGCCTTCATGTACATGATTTATATAGTTCAATTTTTGTAGATGTTTGTCCGTTTTGCTGTGCAGCTGAAAGTTTGCCTTTAAATTAGTCTTATAGTTGCACAATCGGCAAATGTAATTGTTGTTTAGAATCACCATCACTTCATTGCTATTAGTTACATTAGCTTTCTCAGTGCAACTGCTTTTGACTGTACTTATTGGTGTTGATTGCTGCTTCTTGCAGCTACGTGAGCGATCAATTAACAAATGTTGGTTTAATTCGTCTAAACTATTTGTTCCGTACACCCCGCATACTAAACAACTATAGACGCTTTTTGGACATGGATCGGCATTTATGGGTGGCTCCAACATTTCATCGTTGCTGCAGCTAGCACTAACGTTGGAAGAAAAATGTGCATCGCTAGTGCTGAACGGATCCGCCGAAGGTAATAATGATGAATTATTGTTAGGTGAATAAGACTGCTGCAAATGATGACGTAATTGTTGGAGTTGCTGTTGTTGCTGAATAACTGTTGACTGCTGCTCTATTTGCATGGAACGCGGTGAGGAACATGGTGAAGTTTTTATTTGCATTTTGGCAGCAGAGTCATATTGCTGCTGTTGTTGATTAACAGAGTTGTGCTGCAGCAATTGTATCATGATCGCTTGATTATAAGCTAAATCAGCTAAAGCGATTTCAGGCAAAAAACTATTGGCTGCACCACTGGCCAGTGCTGGTAATTGTGATTGTGGCACCTGTGTTGCTGCTGCCAATTGTTGTTGCTGATGTGCGGCCATTACTTGCTGATGCTGTTGTAAAAAGCTGTAGGCTTGTATGTGCTTGATATTATTTTGCAGTGCGGCCATATTATGCGTATGCTTTTCGCTGGTCATATGTATACGAAGATTACGTGCCACAGATGTTTCATAACTGCAAATGTCGCAACGAAAGGACGGCTTATTTTTATTGAGCATGCTGCAATTAGTTCCAATGCCATCAACACTGGAGCGACCACCAGCGTTCAAAGAAGGACCTCCACTACTGATCATGGAAGAACTGGCGACAAGCGTAGAATGTGGTTGTTGCTGCTGAGACTGCGGCAGTGCCTGCTGTTGCTGTTGTTGTTGAGTAGCAGCTGCAGCATTGTTGGACATCAACATTTTGGATGCAACATCCGCTTTTCCACTATTAGCAGCAGCGACGGCGGCTGCTAACATACTTTGTGAACTATTCAACTCCTGCATATTATTCAAATGCTTATCTGACTGCATATGAATAGAAAGATTGCCTTTTGTCGTTGTCGAGTAATTACAAATTTCACACCGATACGGTTTGTATCCACAAGAATATGACTCGCCGCGTGCTAGACGAGGATGCTGTTGACCTGTGGAAAAGAAAAAAGTCAGAAATGAAAAGCAAGTTTTTATTTCGTTTCAAAAAGAAGTATGTTCTTTTGTTATGTTACTCATATATTCGGAAGCAGCCATTTTATATATTTATACTTGTATATGCATGCAAATAAATTTGCCACTTAAACTATTTTGATATTTTAAAAATCTAGGCGTTTATTCTCTCTGACTTTTTCTCATTTTGCTGATGAGATTACAAAAAGTGATAATCGAATCAACCTAAAAGCTTCGCAGTTCAAAGGATAAGAAAAGATAAAGTTTATATGCAACCGAATATTGTATGTATATCCCCCACTTTTGGTATCAGATGCGAGGCTATATTTTCCGGTGTTGTTAAAATTTTATCTTAAAACAAATTTCAAATTAAATAAATATTCGTTGAAAGCGTGAATTAATTATTGGAATCGTATCCGATATCATATTAATAAAATACTTATATGTATAAAACACAGTGCTATAAAAATTAATAAAGTCCCAGTATCCAGGGTATGAGGTTATTTTTCTTGGACGTCTTGTCGTGCAGAACGAGAATCAAATTTTGTGATTGTGAAACACCTCCGATTAGACAGATCCGAGTTCCTTCTTTCTTAAGCCGTTCCTAAATAATTAATTATCGGCTGATAATTAACTAAGGTAAGCGGTGGTTTGAAATTGGAGCCTCACTCTACTCGACAAGGCCTACAAGAATATAGCTTCGCTTACTAGGTATTTTGCAATATCAGTTTCAATCTAACAAATGCAAGTTCTATAGTTATCATATTAATGCTGTGTTAAGAAATATACCGCTGAGATCGTAATTTTTCCCTTTTATTTTCAGTGGGATATATTATGCAATAAGAGTAAACGTCATAAATATGGATGTTAGGACCAAGCAGGCGAAATGCTTCTTGATTGTAATTACATATTTATTTATTTCATTTGTGAAATGGTACAAACTATTCTAAATGATAGACAATGGTGTATTGCAGCCCAAACATATTATTTAATACACAAGCTTGTACATTGTACACATGTTGCTATAGGGTATAATAGTTTTGTTCACCTTACGGTTCTATCCATCACTTAAAACTTTTTTTCCCTGGCAATCCTGGAACCCAGTGGAGAGATTAAAGTGTGATAGAAATAAATACAATAATTTTTAAGTTTAGTTTATTTGTTATGCAATCTATGCAATATATGAGGAAGAGCTTGCCCGCAAAACAGATTGGATCTTGAAAAAAAAAAGCCAGTGGAAAAAGGAAAGCTGAACTTCTCAGCTTGTGGTTCCAGCAACATCAAAAATCATAAAAATAGTCGCAAGAAATCAAAAAGAAAAGAAAATTTCACGACCTCCGCCAATAATAATTCGAGTGACTGTAATTACCAAAAAACAGGATTTATTCTAAATAATAATACATATAAAAACAATACATCAGACTCTGATGATTATATAAAGTTAACCAAAATCGATGTAGAGAAAGCAAATTTTTGTACATTACTTCGTATCGGCATATACATATCTCTTCAGCAAATACTTTCATAACTTTTGGAAAAACTGCTTGCTATGCATTTTAACAACATAATTGAAGAGAGTTTTCAAAAATCACTCCGCTATTGACCAAGTTCATATAATATCTTGAGTCATTGAAAAATGCCTTTAAAGAAAAAAGTTTGCTGGGCCGTCGACGTTGCTAAAGTCTGTGGAAAAGTTTGCCATGGCTCTTAAACAAAATTTAGATGCTTTTACCAAAATAATATTACAATATTTTAAAACCTTACCTTTCCGACCGTTTTTTTTTTATTAAACATGTCAATATGTACTATGATTTAAAGGAAATTAAAGCGAGTGTATCTCATGATAGTGTATTAGGACCCATCCATAACCTACTTTTTACATGCGATCTTTACGATACTGCGCTTTTGTCTGTCGGCAAAACACAAACTGCGTCAATTGCAAGATTGCAAGAACATTTAAACAAAGTATTTGAATGGACAGCTAATGGCGAAAAAAGTTAACAAAATGGTGTGCAAATACCATATCGCAATAATGCGCAATACCTAGGCATGATTCGGGACACAAAACTTCGATGGAGTGCGCATGACAAAACGAAAAAAAATAAAAGAATTAGAAATAAAATTCGGAAACATGTATTGGTTATTGGGTAGAAACTTTGCCCTATCCACATACTCGTATAACAAAATTCTTGTTTGAAAACGAGTGTTCAGACCTGTTGAGGCATCAATCAACAAATATACAAATTTTCATATGGAAAGATATGAGTAAATGAAAAAAGCTTAAGCGCAAAAAACTTATCACCTTATACAATAGCCTGACTCTGCAATTTTTACACAGAGAATTTGTATTCTACAATACGCAAAAGTAGTTTATTTTGTTGTAACTATTTAAATGACAGTCTGTCTATCTGTCTGTCCGGGCAAGTTGTAACTTGAGTAGTAAAAATATCTCGATGAAACTTTGTAGACATGTTCCCTGGCATCATAAGAAGTTTGATATTGTAGATAAACGTAATCAAACAACTGCCCCGCCCAAAAAACGACATTAATAGAAAAACTATAAAGGGCCATAACTAAGACATAAATTAAGAAGAAACTTAAATTGGACACAAAAAATCACATTAGGGAGGAAAAAAATGCGTGACCCTAATAACTTTGATGTATATACTTTCCAAATCAATTAAGTATATTATCAAAATTTACGCAAAATAAAATGTTATCAACCCTACTTACTATAGTGTAAAAAAAAGTGAAATTGGATGACAACCTTTTGGTAAAAATTACTAAGATTTATCGTACATCGCCTACATTTAGGTGAAAAACCATGTCGTGGAATATACTCGACCGATACCAACCATATTCAGTATATAACATCACACTTACTTCTATATCGTTCAATTTTAAATTCCATATGATTACTTTACTTTCCAGAACACAAATCTAGCACTAATTTATATATCGAGAAAAAACTGTCGAAAAATTTGTAAAAATCGGGCCGTAATTGTTCAATATCAAACCTATTGAATATGTGAACCCCAGAGTTCATGAAGGATGGAGTGATGTGTAGAAGTTCACGTATGTGCCAAAAGTTCTTTGATTGCCATTCACTTGGGAGTGGCCAGAAACGATTATATAATACATATGTATATGGTTCAAGCATCTCAGGACTTTCGGTCTTAGATCAAGTATCCTCTGGGTAGCCAAAGAACATCCGTTTGAAGGCGAGCTCAAGTAAAAGGCCGAAATATCCCCTAGACAGGGTTGTACGCTGGGTTTGGGACCCACTGCGTAAAACACGCACCCAATGAAAAATAAAAAGCAGATGACATAACTCACTTTTGATGACGACCATGACGACGCGACGATTTAAGGGCATGCACCTCGAATGTCCGTTCCCTTAATTGGGAAGATGCCGCTGCCCAGGTGGTTGATGTCCTTGTTAAACTGAATGCTGACATCACCGATGCTATGGACGGGATAAGGACTGAGGCGAGTGGGTCCTTGTGGCATTTACTACAGTGGCCATATAAAGGAGCGAGTTAATTTTTACCAGAAGTAAAACTGATTCAAAAGAATATATTTTGAGATGCACCGAAATGTATACTCTTTATTTATAATCTTAAGACTAACTTATTACATGGTTCTTACTTCCATTTATACTAACTAGTATGTTTACTTATTATTAGTTGATAGTTTGTTTAGATGCAGATTATATTGTTTGTTTAGGTTGGTTTACATATATATTGGTTGCTTAGATACAGATACATTTGCTTTGTTTTAAGATAATGTTGTTGTGGTATTCAAACTCATTGTTGTTCTGATACTTGTTTGTTTAGGATTTTTTGTAGTAGCGATAGTGCATTTCACTTGTTCCAACTAAAGGTTGTTTTAGTGCATTCTTTTTACTGAAACAAAAGGTTGTTTTGATGTTGTTACTATTATAAGGAATACCTTCCTTAACTAGCGCAAATTCGGTATGGGATTCGTGGAGGAGAGAGATTCCGTCATCGAGTACTGTCATTCACCCGGTGAATGAACGGCTAGCCACAATCCGTATGTGTGAGCTGCTACGATGTCAAAATCATTTTTGGCGACTTTAACGCTAGGGTGGGCAAAGAAGGTATATTTGGCACAACAGTCGGTAAATTAAGCCTTAATGAGGAAACATCCTCAAATGGTTTGAGGCTGATCGACTTCGCCGGGGCCCGAAATATGGTTATCTGCAGTACTAAATTCCAGTATAGAACAATTCATCAACCTACCTGGCTATCCCCGGGTCGAAAACACACCAACCAGATTCTTCTTGTTATGTTAGACGAAACACCGTCTACACTGTTTTAGACGTGCGTACATTCCGAGGTCCTAACATAGGCTCGAACCACTATCTTGTTGCAGGCGCGATACGCACCCTCCGCGTCAACAAAAACAAGGAAGGTTCGACGTCGAAAAGCTGTAATCACAACTGACAGCCGAACGATTTTCTACTCGACTTGCGTTCCTGCTTTCTGAGAGCAATCATCAGCAACTCATTACAAGGGAACTGTGGGACGTCATTTCAAGCTCTTTACGCACAGCTGCAACCGAAACCATTGGTTTTCGGAAAATGCAAATGAACAGTCGGTAAGACGAAGAGTGCCGTATCACAGCGGGGAGTAAACAGACTGCCTACCTCGCACAGTCAGGATCAATCACAGCACGTGCGGGATGGGATAGATTCCGAGAGCTGAAGAGGGAAGCGAAACGCATTTGCAGACAAAAACAGAGTGAGGTGAGTATGCAGAGCTTGACAAGCTGGCCGACCGGGGTAATGCTCGAAGATTCTTCGAAAAAATACGGCGACAAAGAGAAGGTTTCAAGACCGGAGCATACTCTTGTAGAACCTCGAGTAGTGATCTAGTAACCGATGTCCATAGCTTACTAAAGCTATGTAGATAATACTTCTCCGCCCTGCTGAAGGGCAGTGAAAGTATAAACCGATTCC